ATATATATATATAGTGTGAAAGATTGCACCAAATTAGACATGCTTGACTTGAAATAGAGAGATATTTGTAAATAGAACAAACCCATGATAATTCGTGGTTTTCATATTTTATCACAAAATAAGAACTTTTAGAATACATTCCATAAACCACTCACTTCGATAATGAGAGCTCTTAAAAATAAATTGGCAAGACAACCCAGCTGGAATAGGATTGAGAGCATCCAAGAGACAGAGAACATAGGCTCTTAGTTCTTAGTTTATGCCATATATTTTATTTTGAACTAGTACAACTTTTGGTTTTGTGATGTGGCCATTTTGTCAACTTTTGGTAGCTGTATTCCAGATTAGGTGCTCATGTTCATTTTGTAAATTTGAGCTGCAAAGGTTGGAAAATTATGTATGTATTTTGAACTCAAAATATAATGGAATTTGCCTTCAAGCAATTATTCATTTGGAAATTGCCTAATAATAATTGTGCATACATATGAAACCCCGTATTTTTTTTTATATATATTTCAGAAAATATGTTGTTACATATTTGGTTTATAACTTATATATATATATATATATATATATATATATAAGTTATAAACCAAATATGTAACAACATATTTTCTGAAATATATATAAAAAAAAATACGGGGTTTCATATGTATGCACAATTATTATTAGGCAATTTCCAAATGAATAATTGCTTGAAGGCAAATTCCATTATATTTTGAGTTCAAAATACATACATAATTTTCCAACCTTTGCAGCTCAAATTTACAAAATGAACATGAGCACCTAATCTGGAATACAGCTACCAAAAGTTGACAAAATGGCCACATCACAAAACCAAAAGTTGTACTAGTTCAAAATAAAATATATGGCATAAACTAAGAACTAAGAGCCTATGTTCTCTGTCTCTTGGATGCTCTCAATCCTATTCCAGCAGTTTCAGCTGCATTTGGCTGGAAGCATTTAGTGCAGCCTTCTTTGCAGCAGCAGCAGCCTTTGCCCTTGCATATGAAAGCTTTCTCCTAACTCTTGCAGCTACTTTTGCTTCATCCTACCGAGAAAAAACACTTTTAGCTTCAAACAATAAAACAATAAAACAATAAAATAGTTTCCATTTTCAGGAAGAAACAACAATAAAAATAAGCACTCACAGCAGCAACTGCAGGGTCTTGGTTATGTATTTTTCTTGGTCTTCCTTTACCCCTTGATAGGGGTATTTCCTTTTGAGGTAGATTCCGATGGTGAGTGGCTTTGTTATGGCCAGTTGAGCCACAAATACTACACCTCATTTGCATTCCTTGTCTTCCCAACCATTTTTTCCCAGTCTTATCTATTCTTTCTTTAGCTCCTTTTATCCTCACCTTTCTAGGTCTTCCAGGCTGTCTAGTGTAGGCTGGTGGCTTTATTGCTGTCTGGTTAGTCTTCTCCCATAGCTGTGACCCATTAATTGGCATAATGAGATTGTTATAGAGGGCCATGTAACTGTCCTTGCTGTAGTATGAATGCACATAATCCTCCACAGCTTTACCTCCTTTGTAATGTATGACAGCAATTCCATGAGCATAAGGAATGCTTGACAAGTCCCACTTTCTGCAAGAACAAGTGTGATTATCCAAATCCACCACATATTGGTCACATCTTCCTGCATCCACTTGATATTTAGGACCACCAGACCACTGCACAGTACAATTACATGCTTCTAACTTTTTTTGTTGGACATGGTCAAAAATGTTCTTGCATATTTGACGAGGCCAACTGCTCATCTTGTCCCTCCTCCACTGGATCCTTCTCATCAACAAGCACCTGATCATCTCTAGCATTGTGATAATTGGCTTGTCCCTTGCTGTCTTGATACTATTGTTGAAGCTTTCACACAAGTTATTCTGCAGCATATCACACTTATCGACGTCTTCCACCTCCAATATTGCTCTTTGTCAATAACCCTCGAATATTTGAATTCACACCTAGACCCGACGTGATCTAACCTACCACAAAATAGACAGAAAAAAGGAATTCTTTCATATTCTATTCCGTAGGGTTTGGTAAGTTCATCCGGTACAAGTCTCAGAGCAACACAACGTTTCAAAGGTTTCGTCACCTTTAAACCCACCGAGATGTGCAAGAAACTCCCCAAACAATCACCATTAAGTCATTTATCTACCATAACAAAGGTTCCCATAAAATTCCCAGTTTTTTCTCCCATTGTTAGAGTAAGGAAAAGAGGTGGAATACCCCTAACCCTAACCCAGAAATTTTGTAAGTCTAGCGAAACAGTATGGGGATCAAAGCTACCATCAGTTGCCGACAATAACAATAACCATCAGTCTATGGCGATCCCCTCATCACCCTCTTACGATCGAGATCAATCTTGAAAGAAAATAGAAGACGTTTAGAATCCTCCAAGGTAATAGAAGAGAACTCTTCCCGTGTATGCCAAATACGCTTTAGCGTGCCCACCAAGGAATCCTTGTGATAGTCTTTAGTCGTCAGCAACTGCCCCACCAAGAGAAAGCGAGTAGCTTTTAGGCTATCGAGATCATCAAGAACAACAACTTCAACAGCCTCTGCATTCGAGATCGCAAGAGATCTAGTAAGCCCCTGTGTAATCCCATCGATGAGATCCATTAGCCTTAGAAAAAGCAACCCGCAGCCAAGACTTTGAGAAGAAACTCAAATTGAGATGACCAAACCAAACCCTAAGATGAAAAACTCAAACCCCGTCAACCAAACCAGCACCAACTCCACCACCAAATGATGGGAAACCCTACAGACGATGAGAACCCCCGCATACGATGAGAAACCCAACTCCAGCACACCACGCAGATGATGAGAAACCTTGGCGGCCAAACCAGCACCCACTCCACACAGAAGGTTGTGACGGCGGACCAAAACCCTATTTCCTAAACCCTAACCAAACACGGAAGGGAGACTCTATAAATTTGTACCTAATTTATTTAATTGTGGCCATGTTAATTGAACGACTGAATGGGCATTATTTCAAAAACTTTCTTTTTCTTATACTATGAGTTGGAAGAAATAATAACTGCAATTTCTCCATATTAGAAATTCAAATATGTAAATGCAAATCTATTTTGAATTTTAAATGATATACATTACTAGCAATATGCTCATAAAGGAAATACCAAAAAAAAAAAAACAACCCGTGTGTAATAAAGAAGGGTATTATAAGAAGATGAAATGGATATAGGTCAAGGAACTGAAGTCAAAATTTGATTTTACACCACAAATAGTATGAGAAATTATGTAAAGCAGTACAGTCTAGCTTTCTATAATTAATATTATAGTTCGAAATGGACTTCAATGCCACATGCATGCATATTGGCTCCATTAATTGCAAATTTATATATTTGTTGATCATCTTTCTAATAAAAGTGGACCC